GAGAAAGTGGCTTTCCATCTGTTCACTCAAAAACCCATATCTGCTCAAATGAGGATATTTAATCAGAAGTCTTTCTCCTCTCTTTCTCACTCTCTGCTGCTCCCAAATCTCAGACCTTCTTCCTCCTAACAGAACTGGGGGAGGAAGATCCTGGAAGGCAGAGTAGCTCTCCAAGCATAACACTTCCTTCCCAAAGTTGGGAGAGGCTCAGTTCACCTGCTCAAGATGAAGTGATGGGTTCTGCAGTGTGACTAAGTAGCCATTTGTCTGTCCTCTGGACTCAGAGGTTCCCACTGACCTGGGACTGCTGACACATGGGTGTGCTCTTTTATTAGGGAGCTTTCCCAGCCAAAGTGGGCTGAAGCTGCCCGAGGGATGGTGATGCTTACAAGGCCACCACCTGCTTTTCTGGAAGAGACCCGAGGAGCATGCTATGTGGGCTTGCTTCAACCCCCATGCAGGAGAAACACCCAGGATCCCCCAAGGGTCTAGGAAGCCTCCTCTTCCTTTTCAGAGAGCAACCAGGGCCTGAGCCCAATGTGTTGAGTGAAAGGACCATCTGAGCTCTGGGAACCAGGCTTTGGGGTAACACCTTCTGAATACTGTGTGCCAGGCCCAGTGCTAGGTGCTGGGACCCTGGCTAGGACAGAGGTCCTCCCTCACAGCAGCTCACTCCCTAGCAGGGGAAGCCAAAAAGCAAGTTGGGGATTATTCTTAGGGCTGTGATGACGGGTGCACAGGGATGGAGGGAGGGGCTTCTGATGCAAGCATAAAGGTTGAGGTTGAACAAATGGAATACTTCCAGTTTCTCTCCTTTCCCTACAGGCTTCGCAGTCATTGAAATTCAAATTCAAAATTCAGCATCCATTCAAAGCACTCAAGTCAGAAAATGTATGCTCCTCACCCCTCTTTCCCTCTCCAGATTTAAGTCCTCCTGCCCAGGTTACGGATGATGTTCATGTGGCCGGATCCAATGGACACACCAATGATTCAATGTGGTTGATGCTCCTTCCTTCTTGAAAAGCTCTCTTCTGGTGACTTCCAGTCCTCTTCACACAACTGCTCAGGTCCTTCTGCTGCTTGCTCTCCCTTTGCTGAGGCTCTAAATGCTGAGCCAACCCCGGGCTCTGTCCCAGGCACTGTCTTTTCTCTATATTCCCTCACTAGGTGATTTCACCCAGTCAGTGTTTCTGAATAACACCTATAGGATTTTATGACACCCAGCACCCCTTCTCAGGCCTGACCTCTTCCCTGAGCCCTAGGCTTGAATACCTAAAAGCCTCCTGGACACCCCACTTGGATGTTTAACGACTTCTCCAGTGTAAAATACACAAAGCAGAAACCTTACTTTCCTTCCAGTGGCGGCTTTTCTTCTATTCATTTCTTGGTATATACCGAAAAGAAGTGAAATCAAGGCGAGACATTTGAACACCCACATTCATAGCAGTATTACTCACAGTAGCCAGAAGCAATCCAACTGTCCACTGATGAATATAATGAATAAACAAACAAAATGTGGTGTATACACAATGCAATATTATCCAGCCTTAAAAATGATGGAAACTCTTGACACATGCTACCATGAGGATGAACCTTGAAGACATTATGCTGAGTGAAAGAAGTTGGTCACAGAAAGAAAAATGCTGTATGATCCTATTTATATGAAGTCCCTAGAGTAGTCAAATGCATAAAGACAAAAAGCCAAAGAGTTGTTACCAGGGGCTGAAGGAAAAGGAGAATGAGGAGTTATTGTTAAATGGATATCGTTTCAGTTATGAAAGATGGAAAGAATCCTGGAAATTGGTTGTACAACCGTGTGAATGTGTTTAATGTCACTGGATTATTCACTTAAAAACAGTTGAAACGGTTAAACTCCATGCTACGTGTATTTTGCCACAATTAAAAAAAAAATTCTGATCATGACACACCTCTCACCATCTCTCTCCCTCAACTAAAACCCCCCATGGCTCCTCATGGTCTGAGGAATAATGTCTAAAATCCTTACCGCAGCCCACAAGGTCAGGCATGGTCTGACTCCCAGATATCCATCTCAGCAGATGAATCTTCTCTATTCCCCTCTGGCCGCATGTGCCAGAAACTTTATGCACACTGTTTTTTCAGCTCAAATGCTCTTCCCCAGCCCTTCACTCTTTAGGTCTCAGTGTCAATTCGGCCACCCCTGTGATGAATGGAGCTCTGACGGCAGGGACTTTGCCGCTGCCTGGGGGTGCAGGTGGCTCTATGGAGCCCGCCTCCAACAGGCCAGAGCTGCAAGTTTCCCATGGGGAAATACCTCAGTTGCTCTCTTCCTCCTCACCCAGTCCTCTGACCACCCAGGAGTAGGTGTGAAGAGCAAGTTATCTGTGTCTGAGGCTGTTTTGGGCCTCTCGGTCCCTTGGGTGTGTGTGTGTGGCGGGGGGGTGGGGGTGTGGGGGGGTGGGGGATTCTGTAGGGGGTTATCCCAGACTCCCCCCACCCCTGCACTTATTCTCTGAACTGGCTCAGTCTGGGATGTGAACAGAAGACCCCGTCGAGTGGATGTGCTCCTTTCCTTGCCAGGCAGGGCCGGCCAGGGAGGTGGCCCCATTTGACTTTTCGGGGTAGGGCATCAGGCCCGACCCTCATTCCGTGGCCTTCTTTCCTGGCTTTAGAAAGCTTTCTGAGCACAAGATTCCGGGCAGCTCCGCTCAGACCATGACATTGAGTCACGGTTTCAAGCACAGAGGTGCGCTCCTCCACAGGGGAACTGCCTCATCTCCTTCTTTGCTGACATCCACGCGGCGGGGGTGTCCACAGATGGTACTCACCCACTCCCAGCCCCCCAGCAGCAGGTAAACAAGTGGTGGTCTAGGCTGTGTAAGGAGATCCCAGGCCCCCGGGCCTTCTCAGGAGGGCCCCCGGCACCTGTGTCCCGCTTGTCCGGGGCTGCCAGGGCTCCTCCTCAGGGGACCCTAGGGTGGGTGGGGCACAAGGGGTGGTTAATTGTGTAGGGTCTGGCTTATGTTTCAGCCCCTACCTACACTGTGACCTGGCAAACTACCTCACCTCTCTTGAGCTTCCTTTTCCACAGCAGTAAAATAGAGACTCTATGAGTCCTTGGCCTTCTCGGGTGGCACTAGTGGTAAAGAACCTGCCTGCCAATGCAGGAGAAGCAAGAGATGCGGGTTTGATCTCCCTGGACCCAGAAGATCCCCTGGAGGAGGAAATGGGAACCCATTTCAGTATCCTTGCCTGGAGAATCCCGTGGACACAGGAGCCTGGTGGGCTACAGTCCATGGGGTCACACAAGAGTCAGACGCAACTGAAGCAACTTAGCACACACACAAGTCCTTACCTATTTCACAGGGCTGATGTGAGGAACAGAGAAGACAATGCACTTAGGAGCATAGCCACGCAGTGGTCCCTCCGTTGCCCCATCACTGAGCTGGCCTCCAGTGGGGAAGGCCTGGAAAGCCCTGGGGCTTCGATGCTGAGGGTCTTTGTGGTCCTCTCTAGCTCAGAGGCCTGGGAGCCTCAGAGTGACAGTGGGGAGTGAAGGGAAGCAAGCAGAGCCCCTTTCCCTTCTCCTCTGCCTTCTTTGCCTGGTTGGGGCTCAGCAGGCCGGGCTCAGAGTGGCCTGAGCAACCTCCCGGCTGCTCTACCTCTGACACAACCCAGGGCAGCGCACACCTTCCTCCAGAGCTCACGCCTCCCTGGAAACATCCAGAGGCCGACCGCTTGGCCCTGGGTGTCCATCCTCAGATGGCAGCACCTGGGCTTAGCCCGAGTCTCTGGGAAATGCAGGGGTGGGGATGTTTAGGACCCAAAAGGGAACTCAATCCTCTTTGGCTGGGAGCGGGGTGGAGGGCCATGGCTATTCATGGTTCTGTCACAAGGGGGACTATCCAGCTGGTAGAATGGACAGAGCCCCCCTTATGGAGGAGGCTGGGATGGGGACAGGGCTGGGGGCACAGGGACAGATGGTGGGGTCTGGACATTTTTAAGGAATTGTGTGGTGACTTTTGTTTTCCACGAAAGTATCTTTAAAAGTTATGCTAATAGCCTCTTTGGGTTCTGATGGCATCTTGTAACATGCAGGTGTGTGGATGTGGGTTCTCAAAGCGCAGCACAGCTGCAGCACCCCCAGCCCGAGCAGGGCATCATAGGCAGCCAAGCCTGCAGGAACCCCTGGGGGAGGGTGGCCAGACCAAGCATGTGCAGAAGGCTCACCCTCATCTCTTGGGACATCTCCCCAGCCTCCTGCAGCCTGACCTCCTCTCCACCACCCCCAGGTCAGCTCCTTCAACTCTTCCTACTTCCTCCCACTTCCTGGAGCCCCCACTTGCTCAGATTCCTTCCTGCCTGTCACAGAGTCCCTCAGAGTCCACGTGGATGGGCCGGCGACAGGCAGTGCCATTAGCAGATCAGTGAGTCTCTTCCCCATGAGAACAGGACCTTGTCTGCTGACCAAGCCTAACACTCACATCTAAGGAATGAAGGTATGGATGACTGTATTGGATGACGTGTAACGGCTGTCTTTCCCCAGACGTGGAGCCACACTGGGGAGGGGCTGTGTCTGCTCCTCCACGGCTCTATCCCCAGCAGCACCATCTCTGGGTTGTTGGGTCCCTTAAGTCAGCCTTGGCCGAGTGAAGTGGGGGAGGGCAGGACTGTCCCAGTCTCCAGGAAAGCGGGATCCCCTTTGGGAAAGACACTACAAAGAGGCTCCCAGCTGCCCCAATCCCGAGCAGTTCCAGACAGCACAGTAAGAATAAGGATACTTAACACTATGCCGAGTGTTTTATAAGAATTATGTCCTTTCATTTTCACGGTGGACCTATGAAGTCGATGCCATGGTCATCCCCATAGACTATCCCTCAGGGCTTCTTGCCTAGCTGCTCCTGGTGGGATTTTAGTGGGAGGAACGTCACAGCCCCAAGAGACAGAATTCCAACCCTGTGAATACCCAGGCCGGCACACTGTTCCCATCCACGTATGCATATGTTTCTGTGGTTTTATTATTACAAACACACCACGGCTCTGCCACACCTGGGGACTCCTGAGCTCCGCGTGCTCACCGACCCTCTCTTTTCTAACTGGACAGGGTCACACAGAAGGGTCCAAGCCACATGGAGGCGCGAAAAATATTTGACAGAGCCATTCAACTCATAGCTTATAAGGATGCCATTTCTCCAACTGTGAAAGAGCTTTACAAACACCGTGCCACGTCGCCCTCGCGACGCTGGATGGCCTGATTCATGCTTTGTGAGCTTCAGAAACTTTGGCTCCCTTTTCCAGTGTACGTGGCACAGGCAGGAAATGCCAACAGGTCCTTGCTGGAAGTCAACGTCAGGCAGTGACATCCAGGACTCTGCATTGCAGTGGGCTAACCACCATGTTTAGGGGGCAAAAATGAAAAGTCTATCTCTCACCCTCCTCCCCCCACCCCCACCCTCCCAAGGCTCAGATCTCATTATGATGTGACCCATGGACATCAAAGTGTGATAATTTGGTTTCAAAAACATTCAGTCTCTTTGGCAAAATGAGAGAAAGTGGCAGGGAGCTGCTGAAATGCATTCCTCCTGCAGTCCTTCGCACTAGTGCTTCATCCTCTCTAATAACCGCTGATAGACAGGGGCTGAAAAAGAGACATTGGAGAGGTGAGAAACGTGCAGACTTCCCACGTCTGTCTAGGACACTGTCATGAGAACCAACAGCCTTCCTCTGCCACCCTCTCCTGCATAGAGCAGATGCTTTCTGGTTTGTAAAACTTCCAATCTTACTCAGTGATGATTGGAACTGAGGTATTCTCCATTTCCCAGCTTGGGACCATATCCTCACCAAAGGCTCCTGCCAAGCCTTCGTGCAATACTTCCAGGTTACCAAAGCCAAAAACTCATATCAACCCTAAAAGACTGGTACTCTTATCATCTCCATCTTATGGAGAAGGAAACCAGGGGTTCTGTGTCTGACCCCAAAGGCTGTGTTTTATGGCACCATGATATTCTTTCTACAGACAGCAGATGACAGGTTTAGGCCTGTTTAGGCGTAAGACTCGGAGAAGGCAATGGCACCCCACTCCAGTACTCTTGCCTGGAAAATGCCATGGACAGAGGAGCCTGGTGGGCTGCAGTCCATGGGGTCGCTAAGAGTCAGACACGACTGAGCGACTTCCCTTTCACTTTTCACTTTCATGTATCGGAGAAGAAAATGGCAACCCACTCCAGTGTTCTTGGCTGGAGAATCCCAGGGACAGAGGAGCCTGGTGGGCTTCCGTCTATGGGGTCGCACAGAGTCGGACACGACTGAAGCGACTTAGCAGCAGCAGCAGGGGTAAGAATTACATAAGTCTATGAGAATGTCAAACCCAGACCAGACTTACCTAGTTTCACAGAGGTCTGTGTAGCCTGAAAGAAAACACAAGGTGTCAAGGTTTCTAGTGGCAGTTATACCTACACTTGCTCATGGCAGTGGCTTTGCCTATGGCCATCCTTACTTAGAAAAAAATGGTGTGAGTGAGGAAGAGGAAGGGGAATTACGGAACTGCTAAGCCCTGTGGAGCCCCAGAGCCAGGCTTTCCCCCAGACTATCATCTGGACCTTGGGGAGCTAGGCCCACACAGGGGGTGGGGATCACACATAGGAACTCTGGGCCAAGAACCCTCCTCAGGGAGGACTAAGGAGACCCCCCTCTGTCCAAACGTAAAGTGACATATTCCAGCTCCAGACCTTTGGGTTAAGGACCACCTTCTGCAGCCTTGTGTGTTAAAATGCAAACTTCCAAAAATAAAATAAAATAAAATGCAAACTTCCTGCAACACACCCCATATTCCCAAGGGACTCCAGCTGACCCAAAGCAGCAAGGGAACCTGCATGGGATCCCTGGACAAGCTGGGGAGCAGGAGAAGCAGCATAGAAAGTCAGAGAGTCTCTGGGAGGGAGGTGAGGCTGAGGGAAAGAAGGCAGGCTCTTCGAGCTGGCCCAGAATCCAGAACCCACACCATTGCCCAGCAGAGCATGCTGGGCTGTGTCACGGAAGATGGAAGAGTGACCTGGAGGCCCAGGCTCAGACCAGGCCAGCCCACTATCAGGAAAATTCAGGCTGGGCTGTCCTTGGTCAGATGGATTCTCACGAGCTGCGGCTTCCCCACAGACAGAGGTTTGAAGCCCTGGGCTGTCACCCACAAAGGAAACAGACTGCCTGGGTTTTTATTCCAAACTCCCCACAGGCCAGAGCTAAGGATACTCCAGTGGGAGTGGGGAGGGCACTGGGTGGACAGCCAAAGGAGACAGGAGAGTCCCCTCCACGGGCCCGAGCACAGGACACAGCTATTCAGGCCAGGAGTCCACAGAGCGGGCTCATACCCTGGAGAACGCAGATGCCTGTTTGAAGATTTCAAGTGCAGAGTCTGCAAGTTCGTCGCCTCGTTCCTGAGGTCTGTTGGCTGCAGATAAAAGAAAAGGCAGCTTGGATGAGAGAGAAATGATTAGCATGTCATTCATAACTGCCAGGACTGAGGGGCACTGTTGGGTCTTCTGGCTTACATCCTCAGATGAAGTCTGCCTTCATAATGTTCCTTAACTCATGGAGGAATTTAGCCCGTGGGGAGAGGGCTCAAAGAAAGGTGAATGCACAAGTGAGGGGAGAGGCTGGGTTCCACAGTAACTTGGTTGGAGGTTCAGAGAGCTCAGCCGGGGCGGGATGCTGTAGGAGGCGTGTGCTCTGACCCACGTTCAAGCACCAACATGGGAAAAACAACCGAGCTCTGTTTGCGTGGGGCTGGGACAGCGAGGCAATTCAGCAGAGAGGTATCTCTCCTTCAGTTAATGGTGTAGCACGTCTGAGCCGAGAGCTCCTAAGTCACTTTTCAACCAGACCCAGCCATGCTGTTCACAGATGCTCAGTCTGCATGTTCCACATTCATTCTCATCTTTGCCGAGAGCAGTGTTTCTACTGAGCGCTAACAGCCATGAGCAGAGACAGAGCAGTGGCAGGCTGAGTGGGGATGTGTCCCTTTAGGGCCTTACCTGGAGGCTGCAGGACACTGGAGATGGCGTGGACCACGCCATTGGTGGCCATAATGTCCACCTCAGCAACAGGTTCCTTATTGACGGTCACCACGTTGTTTTTCTGGGAGAAATAGAGACAATGATTGTTGAACATGGAGCCTGTTCATCCCATCCATTCTTCAGCCAAGCAAACCTTTACTGAGCATTTCTAGATGCCAGATCCTATGCGAACCGCTGAGAGCACTCTGGTAACTGGAATAGACCCTGCCAGTGATAGACTTTTGGTCTAGTGGGTTCAATGTAGTTATTTATTTTAAACTTTTAATTTGGTGCTGAAGTATAGCCGATTAACAATGCCACGATAGTTTCAAGTGAACAGCAAAGGGACTCAGCCATACACATGCGTATCTATTCTCCTCCAAACACCCCCCCCCCCCAACCCAGGCTGCCATGTAACACTGGGCAGCGTTCCCTGTGCTATACCGTAGGGCCTTGTGGTGGTGGGTTCAATTTAATCCCTTATGCAGACCCAGCATGTTGCAACTCACAAATGCCCTTTTGTACAACTCACTCAGTCCTCACAGCAGTGCATGGGGAAGAAGGAGACAGTAAGGCCCCACCTGACAGAATGGAAAACTCGAGAGAGGCCAAGTGCCACCTTTAAGCTGAGGAGAGGACAGCTGGGGACAGAGGCCGGGTGTCCAGCTCTGGGGGGAGGGCTCTCTCCACTTTTCCTCCAAGTCTGACTTCAGATTTTCTCACAGGGTAAATCTGTCTCAGGCTCTCCTGAAAGACCCACGAATCAGACCCAAGGGGGATGGGGGAAGTGAAGCCAGAGACCGACAGGACCCTGACACCCCTAACCAGGTGCTGAGAGACTCTCAGATAGGCCGCAGAAGTCACAGGTCAGGCCGTCCCCGTGCCCTGCCTGCCTCCCCGCGCTCCCGAGAGAAGCTGACAAGCACAGGGGTGGCTGGAGGCCAGGAGAGAGGCATGAGGAGCAGAAGCTAAGCTGGCCACATGCTGCAAGGTGGTCTGTCCACAGGGTGGGGCGGGGGGCGGTCAGTGGCCTTGGCTAGGGTAGGCAGGGAGGCCCCAGCAGCTTCAATTTGAGGTAGGGACCCTCTGAGGTGGCTCCAAAGGGGAATGGGTATCATCAATGTGCAGAGTGAGTGAAGGGGCACAGATCAAGTATCAGAAGAAAAAGCCTTTTTTTTTTTCCTTCTGGGCTGGTTTGGTTCATGGTATAGCTCAGTGAGGCCCTGGACTTGGGGGTGATGGAATGGGAATGGATCTTTCAAGACATGTAAGTCATTGTTTATCAGTTCCTTAAGGGGGGGTGGTTATATTTAATAGCTTCTCTCAGATGCCAATCAGATGCTTTATTCCCCTGCAAATCTGGAAGAGCTTATTCATGTCTAAGTACAATCTCCCTTAATTTCTTTGGAAGACTCTTTCTTTTCTTTTCTGAGAAAAGGCACTCAGAGATTCAAGATGCACCTTAAACACAGTGTGTGTCTAATGCCATCCTAGGGATGAGCTGTGCCCTGGAGCCCCAGTGGCAGGGCACTGCCAGCCTTTTAACTGTTACACACACTCACTGAGCTGACTTCCAGCTTGTCGCCTTGGAGAGACTTCAGCCGCACCAGGGCCCCGATGCCTCCGCTGACCAGGATTTCATCGCCAACGTGGTATTTCAGGATGTTGGCAAGCTCCTTGGCATTGCCTGCAGGTGTGTGGGAAAAGAAAGTAGAGTTAATCCTAAGGCAGGTAACTGGTGTGGTCAAGGAGGGCCCAAAGGAAAAGATATAGGTGGTCACCCCTGTAACAGAGAACGCCCTGCCCAGGTAATAAGCACTTATTGAGCACCTACTGTTTGCTCAGCCCTTTACCCCATCATTTGCATAATGATCAGGGGAACAAGTCATATGACGGTGGCCATGAAGCTACCGGTGCATTTGATGGGCTGCTAGGTTAAGTATACGCTTCTGCAATGTTGAGAAGGAGTTAATCCATATTCCTCTATGAGTGTGACTCATGTTTCCATGACTAAATAGTTGCTTGGAAAGCCAGGGGTCTTTCCAGCACCAGCATCTGAGACATTTCATCATCAGCATGGCTCCCAACAGTTACAACAGAGTAGTGAAATGTTTACACATTCTGCCCTCAAATGCATATTCAGAGACGGCTGTTTCCTGAAGGGAGAACTTAAAAAGAGTCGACAGCTGCAGTCTGGAGGAGCTATGGAGCCGATGAGGTCAGGGCCGAGGGGGGTATCCCTCCACGGTGTCCCTCCTCATCACGTCTCAGCATTCCTTCCAGCCTACATCAGCCTCTCCACCAACTGGGGAAAGCAGCCAATTGCTCATAAAGGTGCACAGGCATTTCCCCAATTAAGTGTGGGAGGCAATTCTTAAAGCTGCCAGCTGTCCTTGCAGCTTCGTCATGGCCTCCCCAATACTCATATTACCAGCCAAGTGGCTGGATACCCCCAGGGCTCATGGATGGCTATTTCCAGCATCTTGAAACTGAGAAGAGTGGAAGCTTGAAAGCACTGTGGGGAGTTCACTTGGTTATTGTTGAATCCACATGAGGGCCATGGGATGGAGCCATCAGGTACCAAGTGATTTCCAAATACCCGCAACTTGGAGCTGACAAATTACTCTTCCACAAAAATACAGCCTGGAGGTGCCGAGCCGAGCTGCTCCTGGGGTGGGAGGGATCTCCTTCTTTCGAGATCTCTAACATCTGGGTCAACCTCGGACACCTGGATGGGCTCCACCACCCCTCAGCATGCTGGGGTCTAATCCTGCCTACAAGCTGGGGGGAGGACATGTTGGGGAGCCTTGCCCAAGCCCTCCCTCAGCTCCTGCACAACTGAAAATGAAAGGCAAGCCGAGCAGGCTGGGCCACCTGGGGAATATTCCATTCCTGCTGAACAGAGAGAGAATGGAAAGTTTATGTTCAGAATGGACTCCTCTCTCCTCCGGAACATATGTCAGCACCATAGACACAGGCATTCATTTAGCAGTAAAGAAAACTGAATGGGACACAAACTCAGTTCGCAGCTGCCAGAGCTTTCTATTCTCCACTCAGGAGTGGGGTGGGGGTGGGGGGGGTGGGTAGGTATAGATGATGTGTGCCCCAAAGTTTGGCCGAGGTCTTTCCTCCTCTTCCTCCTCCTCCTCAGGCTCCCCTTTCTATGGTGGAGGGGGAAGCTGGTTCTCAGGCACGCATCAGCGTACATACTGCAAGCCCACTCCACCTCCCATCATCATGGCCGTGATGCCGTTACTGATGGGGGACATGTGCTCAACACCACAGGCAATGTTTATTTAATCCTCACAACACTCTAAGCAAGGTATTCTTACCACTCTTACTTTTCTAATGGGAAAACAGAGGCCCAGAGAGGCTAAGCAACTTGTTAGAGGTCACTTAGCTGGTAAATGCCAGAGCCAGGGTTTGATCTGCTTTCGGATAATCCGGGAGCCCAAGCTCTTAACCACTAGGTTGTCTCTCAAACATCCCAACTCAACTGCTCAGGGCCCTGACTAGCTTCTTGGTAAAGCTTTCATCTCGAGGAGGGGTACGTGGTGTAGGGCGATGGCTTCATGAGCAGGTTCTCACAGATCCTTGGGGGGAGACGTGCCCTGCTGATTGGGCTGGTTGTCACCTCCCCTCAGTTCCTTTCTAACTCTTCTCCAGATTGTTCGCTGCCCAGACAGGCTGACTGCCATGAAATGCATCATTCAGCCTCCCTTGTTCTCATGCAACCAGCTGCCAGGAGGCTGCTGAGGGAGGCTGTGGCACCTAGAGGCCCCGTTGCCATGGCTCTGACCCCAGCAGCATGTAGCTCCAGTTGCTGTCATGTGCCCCTCATCCTAGGGTCTCCCGGGTCATGCCCTCCCCCAGTCACCCCCTTCCTCAAGCACCCCCAGGTCTGCGGTGATAAATATCAAAAGGTATCATCACCCCTTTGTATCATCACCCTTTCCTGGTCCCTGGTCCTGGTCCCTTAACTGCACTGCAGTGTCCCCTGCCCACACTTCTGCAAATAATCTTAAGTTTCTTTCCGTCAAACCCTTTGCCAATGGTTTCCTGCTGGAATCCTGACCGATACGGTTACTTTAGAAAAGATGACAAATGTACTTAGGTGGGTATTTACCCATGAGTTTGTTCAGTTCTCCACGGGGCAAGGCTTGGAAGGCTTCATTGGTAGGAGCAAAGACCGTGTAGACTCCTTCCCGGTTGAGGGTCTCGGTCAACCCCGCAGACTGGATGGCGGCCACCAGCATGCTGTGGATACACACGTGGAACATGTTACCTGCCAGTGGGTGGAGGGGGTCGTCATGTGCCCGAATCCCACACCACTGTGGGCAGGTGGAGCCCAGAACACTGGCATTCACACCCTTGCTGGGTTTTGTACAAACAGGGAGCAATCCCAGTCTGCATCTCCTCTCCATAAATGCAAAGCTCAGCGAAAAGCCGTAAGTCATCAGCCAGAGCGGGGAAGGAGGAAGGGAGAGGTCAGAGCAGGACTAACCTACAGACATCAAGCCACAAGGGCCCTGGGGGTGTGATTCTGGGGGCTGGGGGTGTGTGGCAAAGGGCGGGTGGTCTCCCAGGTTCTTATGCAGGTGACTGAACTCAGCGGCAGGAAGCACTCAATGCCACGGCACCCAGGGGCAAGTGAACAGGTCAGAAATGGAGGGAGCAGCGCAAGGAAACAGTGTCACTGGGAGTCCGGGAAGGAGAGGCCAGGAAACTGCCAGAGCCTGGAAGCTGACACCTCACAGGGCGACTCATTATGGGTGCAGAGCCAGGCATGTTCGGCTTCCCTGGGACTTTAAAAGGAGAGTGGGATGCTTTCCTTGAACTTGGGAATAAAAGTGCAGCCCCTCCCTGTTCCCATGGACTTGAAGATTACCCTCCAGAAGCAACCCTTCTTCTCAACCTAAGCTTTCAAGGTGGCCAGGGAGGTCACATCGATGCACAGCCAGTGTTCATTAAACCCCCGAGGAAGTGGGAAGCTTGATGGACAACTGGCACCCAGCGTCCTGCCCTAGCGTGACCACATGGCAGAAATCCCCAGGGGATAGGGCCAGTTACCTGAAGCGATTGTCCCCCTTCAGGACATCCATGACAGTCCCCATTGGGGGGGTCAGCACCCGGTCCATGGTGAACAGGGTCCCGTACCTCCCCCTCTTGTCATGGGCTGCGATGCAGCTGTTTTCAATACATAAGCTCTGTAAAAGGGGCAGAGAAAGGCCAGGTTACGCCCCACCCAAAGCAGGGGCCTCCCAATTTGTTCAGGGCATATGCTGGTGGCTTCATCCACAGAGATCAGTGAATATATATAGGGTTCGGCCTTAAGACGAGGATAAAAGGATGTGCTTTCTCCAAGAAAGAAAAAAATTAAAATGGTGTTCCTTAAGGTAAGAAGAACTACCGAGGCCCCAAGAAATTTACAGACAGGGCTCATAACGAGATTATTGTGTGATACGAGAGGGCCACTGACAATGATCAAATGAAGCGACAGAGTCTACTGATCTATTCATTTAACAAAGGACAACCATCTTTAGCCAAACGGTGCTGGCTGGTCCTGAGCAAGGGCTGTTGTATTGTACTTCCTGTTTGCTATGCCAGGGTAATAGGTGGGTTTGAAGGAGAGAAAAAACAGTTGAAGAGAGAAGAGAAGCTTTTGGATCAAGGAGGGCTGTGTGGTTAGTTCAGGCGACTTCTATTCACAAAAGCTAAGAAGGATCCAAACCTTCCATACCTCCTCCCTTCGTTCATCACTCTGGGGTCAGGGTGGATAGCTGCTTACCCAGCCAGCCCAGCCAGATGTGCAATTCATTCCCAAAGGCCTCCACAAAAGGGGGTTAAGACACTTTTGGCAAAACCCCATTTTGATACTTTGATATCATATATTCTTTCTAAAATTCCTTCCTTCCTTATTAGAAACTAGTTCTCAGGCAAGTTCCTACTTATTAAGCACTTTTGTTTTTTTAAAACACTAATATAACTTCTATTGCTTGGAGCTGAGATAAAGAAAGAGCATGATTTAGGACCCAGAACTTACATTACGATAAACGAAAACTCTCAGTTTCTTGCCGCCCAGAGTGTCCAGGGTCTGTCCGTGGTACAGATACTTGGAGGCCAGCTGATCTTTAATCATGTGGTTCAGAAGTAAATTCTTTGTCCGGGCATTAATGGGAGGGGTTCCATCTGCAAGAGAAGGCATGGTCAGGTCCAGAAACTGACTCTGAAAACGAAGAGAATCAGAGACCATGCGACAGAAAGCCTGATCCCCCTTTTGGAAATGGAGACTGAGAAATCCAGCAAGGCTGTCAATATTCCTTAACATCTGGCATCTTCTGCGAATTAAAGAAAGAAAAAAAAAAGTTCGAGATCATCAAGTGTGTTTGGAATTTTGCCCTAAGAGGGAAGGGAAGGCCTGGACACAACTTGGCCCTTCTCTGCCTTCCCCATGGCTCAGCTGTATCCTCACTATGACCTCCCGACAGTCACACTGGCAATCGACCTCGCAGAGAGAATGACAAGCAACCTCTCTGCTCTCCTGACAGACGCACACTTCATCTGAGGCCCAGATCCCCACACGCGTCCTCTGCTCTGCCAAACGAAACAGCAGCGCCTCTTCACTTTCTGGTGAAGTCACATCTGCTTTCGGCTGAGCTGGGTGGAAGCACAAACCGTCCATGGGGAGTCATAAATCGGGCAGGGTGCCGCAGAGGTGACAAAAGAGGGGAGGCTGCCCCCAGGGACACATGTGCCAGGCTGCCTTCCCCACGATACCTTTGAAGACAGAATTCATGGGGGCCAGGAGGGTCAACCGCTCATTTCCGGAGAGATGAGAGCCAAGGCCAGCTTGTCGGAAAAGGTCAATGGCTGTGGAAACATCGGAGTCTGCTGCCAACTCAAATAGCGTCTTGGCTACAAGGAAGGAGAAAGTGGGTTCAAAAGTTAAAAGTGCTGTTTTCATTTACCATTCATCCACCCCAGAGTATGACATACATCACCAGGAATGTCATCTCTTGAGTCAACAACCCCTCTAAAATGCTGCTGGGGCACAGGTTTGTGACATCAGGGGAATGGTCCCCCAGAAAACCTTGCTGGATGGGGAAGTGCAATGAGGCTCAGATGGGCAGGGGGCCTCTGTCCCAGCCCTTGGTCAGGGTCCTGTCTGCTGCTGGGGAGGAAGAAAGAACATGGTCTGTGCCATGGCTTCTGAAGAGCTGACAATGCCAGTGACCACACCCATGGAAAGCTTTCTTCTGAGTTGGTTTTTTTCCTGTGAGATCCTCTCACTTCTTAGGCATAGAACTCCCTGGAAATCCAAGATGGTACAAAGATGCTGAATGGAACCCAAGCCAAAGTCCACTCGCTCTTTTCTCCCTGGGCCAGTGACCCTAGGATGCTTGAGCACAACTGAGAAAGCAAATGCTCTGAGGTCAGCAAAGGCCCTCTGTGCCCAACCAGAACAGGCAGAGCTTCTGAAAGGCTCCTGTGGTTGAGCCTCCCTAGACACCTTCCATGGCTCTCCCCTGCTCACAAGTTAAAGCCTGGACTCCGAAGCCTGCAGCTCTAGAGTCTTCACAATCTGGCAAAACCTGCCAGGTGCCCAGGCCATCTCTCCTGGGATGCTGTGAGCCAGGTGCAGGCAGGGAAACATCCCCCAAGATCCCTGAATTCCCCTAGGCACACCACCATGGGTGGCACGGGGACAGCGGACTGAACAGGCCCAAGGCCCCCGAGGCCTGGCTCACCTGAGTCAGGGATGAGCAGCTCGTCAATGAAGTGGATCACCCCGTTTGTGGCCAGGACGTCTTTGTTGGAGATGATGGGCTTCCCGTTGATGGTGAGCATGTCCCCACTACAGCCCACTTCCAGTGTAGTGCCCTCCAGAGTCTCCAAGGACAACCCCGCCACAATGGCTTCGGCACACATGGCCGACTTTAGGATGTGGTTGTTGAGCAGATCTGGGGGCCAAACAGGGCACAGGTCAAGTCAGTGCTGGTCAGGCTGATCTCAGGCATCAGCTTGCCACCTGCCCACAGCTGGGAGGATTCCATCATCTCCGAAGCTAACAATCAGATGAGCTTGGGGCACCACATGGATTGGATCCTTCTCCTCCTCGCTTCCTAGCCTAGCCTCTAAAACTAGCTTGGGCTCAGTGGTCAGACTGCCTGAGTTCGAATCTCACCTCAGCCACTTAGCAGCTGTGGGACCCTGGGTGAGTCACTGAGCTTCTCTGAGTCTCAACTTCCTCACTGGTCAAGAGGAAGCACACACAGCATGCATCTCTTAGGGCTGGTGTAAGGATGACATGAAGCTGAATCTAAGCACCCAGCACAGTGCCTGACGACAGAGTATATGCCCAAGAAATGCTAGTGATTAGCTTCTTAGGTGGCTCTAGTGGTAAGAACCTGCCTGCAAAGGCAGGAGATGTAAGAGACGTGGATTTGATCCCTGGGTAGGGAAGATCTGCTGGACGAGGGCATGGCAACTCACTCCAGTATTCTTGCCTGGAGAATTCTATGGACAGAGAAGCCTGGCGGGCTGCAGTCCACAGGGTCACAAGAGTCAGATGTGATGGAAGCAACTTAACACACAGCACACACCTGAACTTCAGGGTGAGTTCTCTTATGTGTATCTGAACCACGCGGATGGAAAACCTCAAATGTGTTTACCTTGGGATTTTTTTTATCTACTGGCCTTTCATAAAAATGAAGTGTGGTAGGAAAAGATGAAAAACTGTAGCATATGAAAGTTCTGAATTATCTGAAGATCTTGTTTTTGTTTGTTTGAACCCAATCCCCTGGTGGCTCAGACGGTAAAGAGTCTGCCTGCAATGCGGAAGCCCCGGGTTTGATCCCTGGGTCACAAAGAACCCCAGGAGAAGGGCATGGCAACCCACCACAGTATTTCTGCCTGGAAAATCCCATGGACAGAGGAGCCTAGCAGGCTACAGTCCATGCAGTTGCAAAGAGTCAGACACCACTAAACGACAAACACAAACACAAGGGTCTACTTAGTTGCTGTGATCTGTGAGAGGTTGGGGATGGTGATCAGTAAGCCATGGTCTCTCTTGCCCCACCCGCCCCCTCCAGTAAATCAAAAATAGAATCGTGTTTGTTCAAGAGCCACTTCAGCATTCGGGCAGGGGCTGGGGGTGCTGAAGCTCCAAGGAGCCGTGGATGGAGATGGGCCCCAGCCCCTGCCAGGCAGAGCTCGTTCCAGGACTGAGGGTCACGGAGGCCCTCTGTCTTGTGCTCTCAACATGAGGCAAGTTTCAATGTCCTGAGTGTGGGAACCAAAACTACACTGTCACACACAGGAGGAAGCTCTGAGGCCCAGCACAGGGCTGAAGGCCATGAAGGCCAGCACGGACCCGCTTCAGCCAGTGGGGAAGACAAGGGACTGCAAGACCGCTATGGGCATGAGGCCTTGGGGATTGGGTTTCTCCAGAAAGGAAGGGAAGGCTAGGGTGGGGTGGGGGGACATGACGAGAGGGTGAGCCAGGCCAAGGCTGGAAGCCAGTCTGCCAATGGGCACAGCAACCCAGGGCCACCTCTCACCTGTCTGCTAACCCGCTGATAACCAGCCTTCACTAAGGTGGACCGGGACTGCCTGCCTCCCCGCTTGCCACCACAGCCCCTCACATGGGCCCTGGCTTTGAGCAAACAGTTTCCTGAGTGGGAAAAGGCAGGAGGGCAAAAGGGGTAAACCTGGGGTGTTTTCTCACTTTATAAGAAGGTGTTGTGATACTTACAAAAATAAAAAGGTACTTGGTACAAAACACGTTTTAGGCGGAAAACAGTTCTAAATAAAAAGCTAAAATGATGCAATGTACCCAAGTCCCTTCTCCTTGGAAGCCTTCAGGACCCTCAGGTTGCGGGAGCCGCCCCCACCCCCTCACCCCCCGCCATTCTCATCTCCGTGACCTTGGGAGCTTCTCCATCATTGCACTCAGCACATAAGATCCCAACAACCTGCTTTTAAGCCGTCACACCAACTAGGCTTAACCTTCCCTGACCTGGACCGCATTCACTTTGGCAGCCTGGATTCCTGGCCCCACAATGTCTGGACACAACAGCTCTCCATCTGTGCTTTTAGAAATGTGCCCTTTCCCATCCCTGCAGAGCTGCAGGGAGAATATTTTACATTTATGGGGTGTCTGAAATGCATTAGGCATTTTATATAGCACATTTCAAAGGTGGGTTTAAATAGATTCAAAAGAAGTGAAGTCATCCCTGGATTATATTTGGGAGGAATAAGTGTGGTTGGAGGGTTGGGGTGCACAGGGGACCGGGGGCCTACTTCCCTTTGTAGGGAACTCAGGGACCTGCAGGCAGCGTCTCAGGAGTCCTGGAGTTGGGGGGAGGGTGGCAGAGCCTGGCCTCCCCTCCTAATCTCCCACACAAGCTTGGTCCTTCACTCTCCTCCAGGAGTAACCAATACTCCACCTAACTTACCAGCCTGAGAAGGTGAGGAAGGACTGAGCAATGAAGAACCAAGAGCTGACTGTTACTGGTTTTTAATTATAATTTTGGACTATCCCTGAGGCCCCTGGCTAGACACAGGCAGAGTTCAAAGGTCAGCATGATGATTCCCTTTCAAGGATGCTAGGACAGGCCAACCCCTCCGCACAGCTCCAAGCTGCTGCCCACGCTGGCAGCCTCGCCCTGGCTTTGATCATCGGGGCCTTTAAGTCTCCCTGAGTCCGGCCAGGCCCTACTTTGGACCTCCAGCAATGCACCCTCCGTCAGCCCAGCTGTGTCCCTAGACGAGGCTGCTGGACTCCTGTTGGCCCCACTGACCAGGGTTCTGCTCTGACCTCTGCAGACAGGGTCAGCCAGGAGCAACGGGACACGGTGGCAGGCGGCATGTCTACCTGGACAAGGCCCAGCCTGGGGCTCAGTCTGGCTACTCTAACGAGGCAGCCACAGCAGCAGCCCAGGGGTGCTCACCTCTCAGGGCCTCTGGGTCCCCCAGGATCCGGTTCAAGGTCTCAGCGGGGATCTTCTCGAAGGCCTCATTGGTCGGGGCCAAGAGCGTGTACTGGCCATCACCTTCGAGCAGGGTGTTGAGCCCTGATGCAGCCACAGCAGCCTATGGGCAGGGAGCAGATGGTGCGTTCCCTGAGGGCTCTGGGAATCTCCGCACACTAGAGGCACACGAGGTCCCACCAGTGCACCTCTGGAGGGCTCCCGGCTTCTGTAGAAGTCCCAGATGTAAAGACAAGCTGAACCAAGGCTCGCTTCTTCCCATCCCTCCAGTGAGCTCCGCCCACTCTGGTCATCCTTAGCTGCTGCCCGGTTTTCCTCCTTTCCAACCCTGGGCCTTGGCCTTGCAGTGTTCCCTCTGCCCTGTCCTTGCTTTTCTGACTCCTATTCCTTCTCTGGGCTTTGACTGAAATGTCATTTCTCTAGATAGTCAACTTGGCATTGCCCTCCATCCCCACCCCAGCCTGCCCCGCCTACGACCCCCTGATGAAAACAAGTACCTTTCTATTAGACACACTTGCACAGCTTGCTGTCCTCATGCTGCAATTTAATCGTTGGGTGATGATTATTTGTGTGAGCTCTGTGAGCGTAAGGATGACATAACCCCTTCTCTGCAGAGCAACCAGATGGCTCTTCTAAAAGCATCCTACTGCTATCAGGATAAGCCACAGTCCTCGCTCAGCTTCCAAGGCCCCACAGGGTTTGGCCCCTCCAGCCTGGCCGCTCCAACCTCACCTGTTGGCTCCCTAGCACTCTTCACTCAGTCCTGCAGGCCTCCTTGCTCGCCCTGCTTCTGGGCCTTACTCCCCCTCTCCCTTCTACCAACTTAGTTCTTGCCCCCATGTCTGGTATAACTGGCCATTCCCAATGTTCAGGCCTCAGCTCAAAAGTCACCTCTTCCAGACAGACCTTCCTGGACCAACTAGACCCCATGGGTCTCCCCTGCTCACCACTCACTGCCTGACGTCACAGCACTTAGCACCATCTGTGACGGCCTTGTCTGTTTCCCCCAAGAGTGTAAGTGCCAGCGAAGACAGAACTTTTACTTATTCTCTTCTATTCCTCTGAACACACTAGGGAAGTAGCAGGGGCTTCATGAGTACATGTCAGCAGAAGGAAAGACGGGTATTAGGGAGAGCCAAAGGGAAGAAGCAAGCAAGGAATATTTGCAAAACCTGAACAGTAAGAGGAGGTTACTCAGTGCAGATCAGCTGCCACTAATCAAAAGCTGTGCCACCAAGTATGTGGGAACAACAGTACCCTGCAGATCCCCAACCTTTGAGTGACCCAGAAGGAAGGCAGGGGAAGAGGGTGGACAGTGGGGTCCCCAGGTACCCCCAGAGCCTCCTTCTGAGTCCACTCAAGCGTCAGCCCAGCCTGGGGGTGTTTGTCTCTCTGTGTTGGAGATCTCCAGGGGAGGAACCACCCCACTCCCACTTCGCATCCTTTGTGGTCAGGAAGTTCTCGTTGAATCAGGGCAAAAACCCTGACGGGGCAGCCTGTGCTAACTTCCTCTGGGCAGCTGTGGCTAAGAGGAACGCCTGCCTGCCACCACAGTTGTAAGATAAATGCCTGCTGGGCATGGGGGTGCCGGAACAGCATTCTGGGACCCAGAGCAGGCAGAAGCCAAGCCAGATGTCAGTTCCCAGGCTCCTGTCTATACTCGTGGCCTCTCTGCTGGTCTGGGCTCCAAGGAAATAGGGGTATGAACGGAACAAGGATCCCATGGTGGGGACATGTGATCCAGAAGACCATGCAGCCTGAAAGGCCACTTCTCTAGTCCCACAGGTAAGCACCAGCCCCTGGCAGGAGGAGCCTTCCCATTCCAGGACAAGCAATGCATGCCCAGGCTACAGTACTGCTGCAGCCACAACCTTGGAACTTTCCAGGGGCGTCAAGGAAAAGAAACTTTACAAGGGAGAAGTCCGGCAGAGGGACATTCCCAGCAGATTATGATGTCTTCCTGTGATCAAACTAACTGCCTAACTAGTAAATTCACCACGTTTATAGGCATCAGAGGAACTTGCTCCAGGGTCACCTAAAGGCCCATGAGCATAGAGACACCTTCCACCTTCCACCTTCCCACAGAAGAAGGCCCTCTTGGGAGGTGGTGTATCCCCAGGCCTCCCCCTGCCCCAGGGTGGGCCCTTACCCGCAGGGTCTCGAAGGTGTCTTCGATCTCAATGATCTGCTGGATGTTGTTGGTGACGGTGGAGATGACCTTATCGATGAGGTGCACCACGCCGTTGGTTGCGTGGTGGTCTGCTTTCAGCAGGCGGGCACAGTTGACGGTCACGATCTGCCCAGAGAAGGAGTGAGCGTGAGCGGTTAACACCCTGGAGGCACAGCCTAGAAGCCCCAGGAGGGGAAACCACAGGACGGAATGTGGAGAAGCAGGGGCAGGAGGTGGAGGACTGTCCACAGGTGACCTCGCCTGCAGGACACGACCCCAGAAACCCGCCCACACATGGAGCAGGTGCAGGCTCAGGGTGGGCACGGGGCAGAGCCGTGGAAGCAGGACTCCCTACCCCATTGGGATAGTGATGGATCTGGATGTTGGAATTCTGGTACATGGAGGTGAGGGCCATGCCGTGTTTCAGCTCGTCCGTGAGGACCCGTCTGTCCACCATGTGATAGCGGAGGGCGTTGAGCAGCTCGATGTTGACGTTGCTCACCAGGGAGTCCAGCACTTCCTAGGAGGAGGGTCAGCGTGGCCGTGAGGGGGCTGCAGGCACCATGGGTCCCTGCCACCCTGGGAAAGGTGCCCCGGGGACCCCCATTCCTCCAAAGACCTCTCCCCTGTGAGCACTGAGACCTGTCTGGCCACTTAAATGGATGGGGCCTTGGTAGCCACCTGGGGAGGTATATTTTAGCTCAAGTGCCATGGCTTTATCTGAGGCCTTAAAGAGGACATGTCCTGAGACAGTGGGAAACCACCACAGAGTCTCAGGAAGACGGTGCCCGGGATGAGAGCCCTGGGCATAAGGAAGTCATCTCACAGCCGGCAAGGATGACCAGGCCTCGTTGCTGGGGGCGAAGATGGTGAAGCTGCCGGGTCCTTCCATCTCGGGCCTCAGCTTCTCCGTGCGGTCAGTGTATAGCTGAGTGGTGGTCGCGCCGACGACTCCCAGGGTCTCATACAGGTTAGAGAGCGGCAGGGCTGCAGAGACAGATGACAGAGCAGGATGGCCTGCGGGACGCCCCCGGCCAGACCACACCCTTCCTTGTGTGAGCACACCCACTGGAGGCGGCCAGACACAGTCCGCTACGGGGAGCCGGGGAGGCCGGTCACCTGCTGCTTAGAACAGCTCCACGGCCAAGGGCTTCCCTACGTGAGCTCAAGGGATTGGTCATTTTTAACCACAGCAGAGCAGAGCTTTTGTTCATAGACAATCAGATAACACAGGTAGGAGCCTACACCAGAAACAGATAGCCCAATTACAAGCTAGTCTTAGGGACTTATCTAGTTGTTTTTGAAACTGGTTCCCTAATGGCTTCCACTGGAATGAAAGAGATCTCGGAAGTGCTTTGGGTTTTTCCAAGTAATAAAATGTTATTTCCTGAAACAGCCTGAAGCTCTGGAGGACCTTCGTCTCACACGGGGAGTTTCTCATATTCCTTTGAAAGGAGCTGAAACTAAGGCCCTGAGGGTGCCCACCCTCTGCAGTTGCTTCCCTTCCCCATCCCACGCTCCCTGCCTGTCCTGCTACTCGGCAGGAAGGCTGTGGCCCCTGCGCATGCCACCCTCTTTGTGACCTTGGTACCAACGAAATCACCCCCTATCTTTTAAACCTCAATCTCACACTCTTAACTAATGAACTAGCAAAGATTTCAAAGTTTAAAAAAAAAAAATCTTCCTTGCAGTCCCCAGAGGTGTGTAGGACTAAAGGAAAGGATCTGATTTCACACGGGTGAATTCACAGGTACCACACTGTTTGTGGGCCCAGATGGCCATTCGTGGTGCCCTTGGCTGACTCTGGGAAAGCCAACCTGCTACTCCCGTCCCTACAAGCTCTGATGGGCCAGGTTCCGACAGTTAGGTGGGGTGGCCTGAAGTGCCCGGCCCAGCCGGAGGCCTGGCCTGCCCTGTAGCTCTCCAGCAGGGCTGCTGAGCAATACTGGATGTATTTAGAATCTCTTGCAGCCAGAAACAACAAAGGCAGGAGCCTGTGCCTGGGGCGGAGGGCACAGGCAGGTCAGGACCGGAGTCTGTTCCCCCAGCGTGTTAAGGAGGTCGGCTTGCACAGGAAGGACAGCGTGCTGTTTCCAGCCTCCAGCCTCTGGACCCCCATTCAGACTGCTGCCCCCGACATGGGTGCTCCTCTCTCCCTCCCTCCTCCCCTCCATCTGCGCCAACAGGCAAGGCTTCTTCACCTGCAGGACAGCCCTTCTCTCCTGGGACCTTCTCATATCCCGGACAGCACTCGTAGCTGATGACTCTGCAATGAGACACACACATGTATTAGGCAGGGCTTCCTTCCCCTCCCGTGTCATTGGTCCTCACTCTGGGAAGGGACATGATGGGGCCAGCACACAGCCTGCTCCTGGAGGAGATCACACGCTCGGTCATCTCTGCACCCCTCATTGGCAAGGAGCTTGTCACACCTCCTCAGCTTTGTATACGGTACCAGCGATGCTGTCATTTATAGTCATGCAACGGGGATGCAGCCAGAGGACTGTGGCAGCCTATTCACAGTGGCATTAGTAAACATCCTCATCTGATATTTATCTCCAGCATAATTCATGAGGAACCCAGTGGGAAGAACTGCTGAGAGGCAGCAGGGAGGAGTGGGAGGAGCTCTGCACCTCTCTGGTTCTGAATCTGCCACTAACCAACCAACCCGGGCCTAGCCAGCCAGTCTTGTCTCCTCTCTGGGCCTCAGTTTCCTCATCTGTAAGACGTAGACATGTACTGTGTGATGGTCATTGAACTAAATAGCCCATGAACTTCTAGCTCTCTGACTTAATAGCCAAGGAGGGTAGCATATTTATGATCATCAAGTTTTATTCCATCTTCACAACCAAACTTTACAATAAAAACAAAGCTCTTTAAGATGCTTACTGCTTCCTTAAATTAAAAACAGAATTTTAATCAATGAAAACCTCCATATGGTTTCAAATCTACAGAAGAATTGATAGTAAAGTGTTCTCCACCCATGCTCATCCTTCAATCTTCCTTCCAGGAGGTAACTGATATTGCCAGTTTGTGAGATTCTTTGTATTTGGATAAACAAGACTGGCAGTTTATAGTTTTAAACTTTGACATCACCTGACATTAAAACTTAGACCAACCCATCATGGCATACTCACCACCTTCTGGAGGTCTGAAACGTAAAGCTTCAGTTAATCCAACATCCCAAGGAAACCCAAAAGACTAAGGATTTTGAAGAGCATCACAAGGAAGTAAGTGTCCCAAGAAAGACTAGCTTCGTATCAAAACCCCCTGTCCCATTGAAGGTCACTCCTGCACCAGTGCTGTGAGCACAGCCCCGCCCTTGGCAACCCTGGGACCTGAAGCCAACAGCCTTGTCCAGCCACTTCCTTTCTTGCCCATTTGTCCTTCAGGACAGGTGAGAACACAGCCTTGAATCACAGAGGGTTTACTACAGAACTGCTCACCACAGCTTCTCACAGGCTGTTTAACGACAGTATAGACAGAAGAGAAGCAGATAGATGGGGCAGAAGTTTGGGCTTTGGGGGTAGGAGGGAGCGGGTGCTGCTCTCAATGAGCCGGGACATTCTGCTCTTACTAATTCCACTGGAGTTGTCTCAGGGAAGCCCTGGGAATCATGTGAACATGAAGCCTGGGTCATCTGTCATCCAGGGGGCTGTCTCAGAGACAGATTAGGATACTCAGGCTGCCAGGGAGCTACAGGTGTCACTGTGCCAGAAACAAGCCCCTAGGACATTTCTGAGGAGTGAGATCACATGTACTCTTCTCTGCCCTTCTTTCTCCATCCTTCTGACTCCTTCTTCCCCCCTTTTCTCTCAGCCCTCCTCCCATTCCATTCCTCTTGAACCTTTCAGCCCTGCTTAAAAGGGTGAAACAGGCTGGTGGGCTCAGGACTGATCTCGACTGACTCATGGTTTTATTTTTGGAAACCAGTCATCGTCTGCAAAAAAAGTGAGATCTGACTGCCTTTCAAAGGCAACATGAGGTAACTAAATAGGATTAGGAGACTAGGCTTGTCATCTATCAGTAACTTGCAGGGTGGCCTTGAAAGTTCATTTCTTTCTCTGGGTCTCAGTTTCCTGATTTACAAAAGGTGAAGCTAAACTAGATGATCTCCAAGTTACCTTAAATCTCACACTCACAATTCCAACCAATGGGATAATTTCTAGGGCGCAGGAAAGCACTCTTTCAAAGAAGAGTGTCTGCCAGAGTCTCACAGTTAAATGTAGGGAGAGCCACAAGCTTCAAGCCCACAGGACTGGGGACACGCATGGGTGGACTCTCAGGGTTTGTCTGATAAATACTGGGGCTCTGTGGTGGGAGTTGAGGAAGTGGGATGGAGTCAAGTCTCACAAAGCTTAGCTTCTTTCTAAAAGTGCCTGGGTGACGCCCCTTGGAGTTGGAGAAGAGTCTTCTCAAAGTATTCCTCATCTCTGGGATCCCCTGAGTGCGCGGGGCTGACACTGTATGCCTTGGCACCTTCAGTCATGCTGGTCAAAGACTCTCTTTCCACGGCGTCAGCATCTGAGTTCCATCCTAAAACCCCACAGGAGAGCTCAATGGCTCACCGGATTTCACTGAGGACAACAGAAAACCAGCTCCCCAAGAGTGAACTTACCGGTGGCCACATGTGGAGGGGAAGGAGGGGTGACAATGACAGGAGAAATGGAGGCTGCCGGGCAGGTGGGGGAGCAGGGACAGATGAAAGCAGGGACATCTCAGCATGAAGGAGGAAATGAGGGATGGAGTCAGAAAGCTGCAAGTGTTTTGGGGGTGAAGGCACTTCCAAGGCTTGTGGCTGGGGAGGGTCAGATCTAGGACTCTCCTCACATTTCACCAAGTCAAGACCCTTCTCTATTGCTGCTAACAGTGCACATATTTGGGGGGAAGTGGACTAACTGGAAAAGCCTAACATCAAAAGGACACTGGGGGTCTCTCTGATGTGATGAAAGCTAATCCCTGGCAGCATTCACTGCCTCTCCTCTCCAGGTGGGCTTTCTGGACATGGGGGACACATCAACCCTTGCGGGGGCACAGCTCCCCAACCCCCCCCTTCCCCACCAGCCAAAGGCTCTCTCCTGGTTAGCCCAGTGTGGCTCCTGCCAGGACACCTTCTGACTGTCTCTTAATCCTCTCATGCGGCTGGCCTCTCCCTCCTCTGCCTGAGTGCTACCCATAGCCTGGCACCCCCAGCACTTTCTGGGTGCATGGGGTGAGCAAGCCTCTCACCTCAGCCTAGAGGCCTTCTGTGTTGAAACACCTCCATAGCTGTTCGGTTCCCTGCTCAACCATCCCAACAACACAAGCTCTTAGAACCAGCCCGCCTGGCCCCGGAGAGGAAGAGGGCAGCTGGAAACTGCAGCCTAGGAAGACAGACCATTGAGACGATCCTGACCAAATCTTTCAGGACTGGCACACCCTCTTCTCAGCCCCATGCATCACTTTCCTGGGGCTCTGGCCCTGGGGACACACATGCTGTGTTGTGGGAGACGGGGCTGGGGTAGTCACAAAGTTGTGGGTCTGAGGGTGAGTGCAGGAAAGCATGAGAATGGCAGGGAGCCCCCTTCTGTGTCTCCCCAGTTCCCTGGCTTCCCTGCACAGAGGGGATCAATCCACTGGTCTCTGGCTTGAATCTTATCAGGAAAAGCTGCTCTGACTAAAGACTGCTGGCTTCTCCTTGGCCTGACACAGACCAATAAGCAGAAACCTCAGAAAAAACACATCCTCTAGGGCAATGAGACACAAATTTTCTTGTTTCAGCTTCTCAGGTCAGAAGAGCAATTTGAGGGATAAAATCAGAGAAGGTGCATGACTTAGAAGGGAATCTGAGGGAGGTAGGGGGTGAGGGGACAAAAAGTAGTGCCAATCCAAGGTCTAAGAGTTGAAATAGAGTTTGAGAGCTCTCCTCCATTCCCCTCCAAAGTTTTACTCACAACTGGATAAAGAGAGAAGCATTATTATTATTTTTTTTCCTGTCCTCAGAATAACTGTCCAAGGAGTTAATCACTCTCTCCCAAGCATGCTGCACAGTTTTTGGCGGCTGGGACGGCTGTAAACGCCCAGGGACTGACGAAACTCTGAAGCAGAGGAATAAGGAATGGGGCCTGAGAGCCAACTTCCTGTGACCCGAAGGTAATCCATCCAGCACGTCATGATTTCCAAGGGAATCGCAGAGCAAATGCAGACTGAGGTCGTCTAGACATGCGCCTGCCTGGATGGGGGTTCTATTTTCTGCACTCAACTGAGCTCTCTTAAGCCTCCCAGGAGAAAATCAAACTCTTGAACTCCTGGTAAGAAAGGGCTCGTTTTAACCTGCTGCCCATCTCCACATTTCCCAGGGTCCAGATGGTGAGTGATGAGACGGAGCCGCTGGAAGATATACTTATGTATTTGGTGACGGTCTGTTTGTATGTGGCACGTGAGGGTCTTTGGGGAGATCCTGGATGCTGGCTGTGTCTCTTCGGCTCCCATGCTCTCCATCTGATTAGAGAGGGAGCACCCTTGCAACAGGGGTTCAGAATGACTGCCAGGCTGGGGGTGAACAACCAGGAAAAGGTTGGTGGCTCTGGGCCAGAGGGCCTCTATGAACCCCAAGGAGGCCTCCTCTTCTCCCTGCGACCCAGAGTCATAGGTTTCAGGGCTGGAGAGTGAGACCTGGGGCAGATGACCCAGGTCCTCCAGGGCTGCTCACTTGACTTCTCCACATGTCACCAATGCTAGCTGCTGCGCTCAGTTCTCCCTGGGGGCCACACACATCAATAGAATAACTGGGCCGCCTCCACCTGCCAGCAGATGACTTAGGCTTTCTGAGCCTCAGTCTTCCCCTCTGTAAATGGGCTAATGATCACACTGATCTTAAAGGGTGACTGTGAGAACCAACCAAGCTAACCTATGAAAAACACTTACCAGATGCTTGCTATTTACTAGGTTCTCAGTCGTTGAGCTGCTTCTTAAAAAATCTCAGATATAAACTTTAAATTAAAGTTAGGTTATTGACTTCATTGAAAGCCATGCCAAGCATGAAACCAATGATCAAATCACATGTAATAAATAAATTCCCCATAACACAGCCATCTAAGTTAATAGACAGGGTCCATCTGGAGAATCCTACGGACAGAGGAGTCTGGTGGGCTGCATACAGTCCATGGAGTTGCAAAGAATCAGACACAACTGAGCAACTAAGCACATTGTAGTTGTAACAAATTATCAGAAGTTTAGTGATAGTGACTTAAACCCACAAAAATTTATTATCTTATAATTCTGGATGACAGTGTCAATAGCTGGACTTATGAGGCTAAAATTAAAGACTGTATTTCTCCCCAAGATTCTACGGGAGAATCTAATTTTGTCTTCTCCACATCTGAGAGGATGCCTACAGTTCTTGGCTTGTGGTTACACCACTCCAACTTCAGTTTTCATTGTCATATTGCCTTCTCTGACTCTCACTCTCCTGCTTTCATTTCATGAGGACCCTTATGATTATATTAGTCTCATCAGATAATTCAGAATAATCTGCCTCCCGCCACACCCCCACCCAGTGCCTTCACTTAATCAGATCTGTAAAGTCTCTTTTCCCTTGTAAGGTAACATCTTCACACATTCAGGGTGAGGATGTAGACAGTATTAGCGTGACATCATTCCGCCTACCATAGAGTCTCACCTAAATGGTACATGGACTCATGTACATACTCAAGAGAACAAGGTTTCCTCTCAGCTAGCCTGCCTCCGAAGAATTGATGCCTTCCAACTGTGGTGCTGGAGAAGACTCTTAAAAGTCCCTTGGACAGCAAGGAGATCCAACCAGTCAACCCCTAAAGGAAATCAGTCCGGAATATTCACTGGAAGGACTGATGCTGAAGCTGAAGCTCCAATACTTTGGCCACCTGATACGGAGAGCTGACTCATTAGAAAAGACCCTGATGCTGGGAAAGATTGAGGGCAGGAGGAAAAGGGGATACAGAGGATGAGATGGTTGGATGGCATCACTGACTCAATGAACATGAGTTTGAGCAAACTCTGAGAGATGGTGAAGGACAAAAAATCCTGGCATGGTACAGTCCATGGAGTCACAAAGAGTTGGGCACGACTAAGTGACTGAACAAGAACAACAAAGCTGCCTGCTAGGAGTGTACAGAATGGGACAGAACCATCAGGAAACTCTGCACAGGAGAGGCATTTAGTAAAACCCTGGTGTTTGGTGTATGTCAAATCTCAGTTATTTCAGAGCAGGCTGGCCATGGGAATCCAGGGGGCTGTACAGGGACAGGAAGCAGGGGATGAGGTGCTGCTGTGGGTCTGGGGGACAGCTTGCCATCCCTAGATGGTTTCTCACCATCCTCCTGTTTTTCCTTTTGGGACCAAGGTTGTGGGATATAGGAGGGCAAGGAAAGGAAGGGTCTTGCTCAGCTTCATCACAGATGTCCTTGGGTACCCTGCCCAAATGAGATCTATAGGAAATAGCTCTGCTATTTTCTATAGAACTGATGGAAAAGTTAAACCATACGCTGGCTGGCTTCAGTAGAAGTGAAATGTCTAAGCCTGAACACAGTACTGAAGAAGTGTTAATATTTCAGCCTTTGGGCAAAGCCATGCTTGCTATTGGGGAAACGGGAGTGTCCTGCCAGCTCATCTTGGCTCTAGAGAATGGCTACTATTGCCTGTGAATGATGCTGCCTGTGACACAGCGGCAAGCTTTTGGAACGGAGAACGGCCACCCCCACCTGCTGGCTCCTGTGCTGGCCCTCCCTGTGCCACGTCGAGGATGCCTGGGCTCCTGCTGTGATTATTACATCTCCATGATGTCAGCTCTGACTTGGCTGTAAAATGGGCCTCCCTTTCACGGGGGTTCATACAAAGGAGGCCTGTTGGGCTTCCTGAGCACCATTTCCTGCACCATTGCTTCAGCTGCTGGACATAAAAATGTTACGGTTACTGATCAGATGGGGACCCAAAATCACCCTCTTTGCTTGATGAGCTGCTGTATTACACTGGTGCTCTTTAGGATCTGAAATAAAATGAGTTTCTAAGTAATAAAATTCACTTGCATCACTGAAGAGGGGCCCACTGGTAACTACTTCCTGTAATAAAATGCACGCATCAGGCTTGACAAGTAGCACCAGGACTCTTATGGGACAATGAAGACAAGCTACTGTCTGCAGACGATGGATGCAGTGGGCTGACAGGAGTGCTAAGCGCACACTGTGACTATGCCCCTCCCTCCTCTATTGGAGGTGAAGTCAGGGCCTGCCTGCGGCAGACACTTGGCTCCAGGCTCCTGGGTCCCTGTGTGACCTGAAATGGCAAAGTCTTCACGCCTTGATCCTATACTTAGTGCTACTTAATCTGCTTCCAAGTTTACATTCTCCTGTGGGTCTGGGGTCCCCTGGGGACCTGTGCAACCCGTTTCCCGTGACCCTTGGCTCCCATTCACGCCAACACACACCCCTGGCTCCAGCCTTGCCCCTGAGAAAATTCCCACTGCCCAGGCTGGCCCCATGCTGAGATGGCCCTCTTTGCTCCAACCACCACCATGCTCCCCATTTCACAGTTTGGTCCTCACCCAGGTAAATGTACCATAAGGCCTATTCTCAGACGACATCATCTGCAGCCCACACTGCCCTCTCCCCTCCCCTGCTGACCACCTATGGGCACTGAATTCCCAGGACCCAGATGGCAGCTCCTTCACGGGTTTCAGCCCTGGGGCACAAGCAAACTGCGAGGCTGCTTCTTCTTAGCTCTCTCGGGGACAACAGATGAGTCCCTCCACTTCCCCTTTCCCTCCCCAAGTTCTCTGGCCTTCCCCCCAGTCAGCTTCACCTTCCTGCTGCTGCACGTGATGTTCCAGGGAGGGACCTTCTTATCCTGGATCATAAGGTTTTTTTTAATCAACTCATGATTTTCTATCCCCATTTCCTCTTTTTAAAGCTGCCCAAAGCAACAGCATGTAGTAGAGTTGTAGGTTCAGATCATCCCCTGTGGGTTTGTAAGATCAGCTCTGCAGTTGGGACTGGGCCAGGGCCCCACTCTGATATCTCCACCCACACCTACCGTCTATCCCTCCCCCAAAGCGCCTGGGCTCCCCCTCTGCTCTACGGTGCTGCACCATCTCGTCTTCAAGAATGTGATGACTCGTCATCAACAACATTTGGCCAACACACAGCTGTGCTGCCTGCACCCATCCGGACACATCAGTGGAGAAGGAGGTAGGTACCAAGAGCCAATCAGCCAAGGCGACTCATTAGCCAGAGCAGCTCAGCCGGGGAATGCTGAAAATGTCCCCAAGCTACTGTTAACTGGTCAGGCAAATGCTTCAACACAGGGCCATGCTGAAATACCATGGCCAATGCCACCCCACTGTCAGCTTGACATTACAAGTGGGTCCCATTTTTAGGGAAACCAGACAAACAAAATGGTAGCGCCTTAAAACCCAGGGCTCTGGTCATCTTCCAAGATGTAATTATGTGGGGCCTGGCTCTGTGTTTAATTAAGTGTTTATTTTAGTTGGTAATATACCCACATGGGAGAAGTAAAAAACTACTGAAAACTTTTTTAAAAAAAAAAACTTGAGTACCAGAGAAGGACACGTGGCATACAATTTGCATAATCTCTTCTTGTCCACAACAGCAAGAATTCTGGCTGGGGGTTTGTTCCCTCCCTAAATCTGGGAGGTGGGTCCTCTTAGCTCACTTATCTCTAGGCTTTGGGGCTGGGCTTGGTCAAGTGGGGAACCAACTGTCATTGCCCTGCCCTTGACAGGCTCACAGGATGCTACTGGTCTTGCCCCCCCTCTGCAAGATCCACAGTTTCCCTGATTCATACTAGGATTGATAATTGTGTTAGGACACAATCAGCGTCACAAGTTGGGATATTTATTTCCATGTGCATTTCACAGAAAGAGTGTTTTCCCTTCCTTCAGTTAGAGAAGACATCTGTTCCAAAGCAAATCACAAGCAATACATTTAAAAACCCCTAATACAGGAAAGGGTTCAAGACAGTGGCTCAGCATCTCTTAAGCCTCTTATTACAGACAAGAGGAAGGCCAGGTCCTCAGGAGTGTCTCAGGGAGCTCTGCGCAGCACATCTTTCCATCTGCAGGAGAGAGCCAGCTTTGCGATCTTTTGATGGTTAGTGCCAAAACAGATTAGGCTTCCCTGGAATTCTGTCAGAACACACAGGCTGCAGGGCAGTCGTGGTGAACACCACCTCCTTCCATGCTGTTCATGATGCTAGAGGCACCAGAAAGCTCTACTGTAACCACAGGGGGCCACGATCCCTGGCATCTCACTTCTATTTATGTAGTTGAGATTTGCAAATAACAGCAGGTAGCATTTACTGAGCACTTACTATGTGCCAGGCTCTGAATTTAGCCTCTTCTATGCATGATTTCATTCAGTCCTCAGAACAATCCCATAAGGTAGTCCTATTGTTATACCCACTTTATGGATGAGGCAATTGAGGGTTCCAAAGGTGAAGCCAACTGCCCAGGAAGGTGGCAGAGCCAGCCTTTGAATCAGAAAGTCTGAGCCTGTGTTTGTAATATGCTATGCTGCCTCATTATGTGCATATCTCTAGGCACTCTCAGTCTTTTTGAGGGTACTTTGAAATGCCAGTGGTAAATAACCCATCTGCCAATGCAGGAGACGTAAGAGATATGGGTTCGATCCCTGGGTCGGTTAGACCACTTGTAGGAGGGCACAGTAACCCACTCCAGTATTCTTGCCTGGAGAATCCCTAGGACAGAAAAGCCTGGTGGGCTTCAGTCCACAGGGTCGCACAGAGTCGGACATGACTAAAGCGACTTAGCACGCACGCACTTTGAAACGCAGAGCAGGAACCCTGTATAAGTTCACCAACGGGTTTTCTTTCCCAGAGTCAGAGGCTGGTGGCTTCTACACTGAATCATTGTATTTGTATCATTTAGTGAGGATTAAGAAGTATGTGCATACACACAGTTTCATGTTTCTTGTGATCCCAAGTCGGCCCTAAAAAACATATCCAAGTCTTGTTAGGCACCTTAAAAGCATAAAACAAAATCATCCAGCTTACTGAAAACGCCACTCCCGAGCACATAGTTCTCTGACATGTGTGCACACGCATCTTCGTGGCTCTGCACACGTTGCCACCTTCCAAAAGGCTGGCCCACGCCCGGGGGCACCTGCAACCCACACACACCGAGGGCAGCCTCCTGGGTGGCTGGTGGTCAAATCGGTGGTTACAGATACTCACGTTGATTTGCCACAGATCTTCCTCTGGTACCACTGCTTACAGTTGGTGAAGTACTTCTTGTTGGTACCAATGAGCTTCTGCACAGCACACACGTTGGGGCTGAAAACAAAAGCTGCAGTGTTAGCAAGATGGGCGGCATGTCACCCACCTCCTCGTCCTTCCCACCCCATGAGCCCTCCCGGGTCACTAGAACTTTCTAGATATGGAGAAGATACAGTCATTTCGGTCAGCTTGGGGGTACATTCTGGTCCTCGTGATCCAGACTTCCATCATCCCTCCCAAAAATATCCCCCAAATTAAAAAACTGTCAAAGTATATATCATACAGTGACGTCATTGCATTTAAACATTCCTCTTTGACACTGAGATTTAGTAAGTATAAATAAAAACATCTTAAAATTTTTAGGATACATGTTATATAGATGGAGAACACCAGCTTGAAAAGAAAGTGGTGTTTGCTAAGAACAGCAGTAGCTTTGAGAGAGGCCCCCAGACTTTCTTTGTACCCCCACTCCGCACTGAGCCCAAACATCCACAGGAGTTAACCTGGCCTCCAAGCAGGCATCACTGGTCCTGTGGTCTGGGCCCCAGCACTCCCCAGGCAGCTCCACACACAGACATCCTCTGCATCCCTAGGAAGCTGCCTGGCTCCCAAACACAGCCTATCTGGGGTGCCCACCTTGGAAACTAGCGGGCATGGCCAAGCCAGCTGCTGTCCTGACCTCGGAAGGAAATGGTCACTCACTGAACTAAGTTGTTTATTACTTGGGCCCCAGTTTGCATCCCACTCCCCCCAGAAAGCCCTCTTTCGATGTCCCAGGTAATACTCTTCTGTCCACCGCTGACCTGTGTGTGATACAGCTCTTGTTTGATGCTGGGTACCGAACACAACCCAAAACTAATCAGGGTGTGTGTGTCCTCTCTTCAGCTACCCTCCAAAGAACCCCGAGGGCAGGGGTTCTGATTTGTTGCTTCTTTTATATTCTAGGTGGGGTGAAGCACCAGATTGGATGCAGAGGAACTTGGAATAGCCTTGTCAAAAACACTGCTCCCAGGACTTCCCTAGTGGCTCAGTGGGTAAGAATTTACCTGCCAATGCAAGGGACATGGGCTCAATCCCTGATACAGGAAGATTCTAACATGACATGGAGGAGCAGCTGGGTCCATGTGCCACAACTACTGAGCCTGGCTTTAGAGCCCTCCAGCCACAGCTTAGCCCGCATGCTGCAACCACTGAAGCATGCAAGCTCTAGGGCCCGTGAGTCACACCTACTGAAGCCAGCAACTTGCAGCTAAGTCTGCCTGCGGCAGCTACTGAAGCCTGTGTGCCTAGAGCCTGAGCTCCGCAAGAAGAGAAAGCACCACAGTGAGAAGCCCGTGTACCGCGACTAGGCACCGCCCCCAACCCCATTTGCAGCTACAGAAAGCCTGCCTGCAGCAACGAAGGCCAGAGAACTTCAGCTATATCCATTCTAAATATCAATTCCTCTGATACTTTACAAATATAATCAAGAGCCATCATTTGAGATGCATGGTCTTTTCCAGGAACTTGGTCAACTCTCAAACACTCAGAGTCAGCTTACTGGGTGGGAGGGAGGGCACACGGACCCTTTAATTCTCTGCCCTGTCTCTTCCACCATGTGGATGTCACCTCTTGTCCAGTCTGTGGTTCACCCCAGGCAAAGCTGAGTGGGCCAAGGAGGCATAGCAAATATTTGTGAGTTACTGTAGGGACCTGAGGGCAAGAGAAGCTGAGGCTGGAGAGGAAACCTCAAGCCAAGGGGGAGGACAGCTCCTACCCACTTACTCCCAGCTGGATCTGACCAAATGCCCACAGCCTCCAGGGGATTTTGACAGAAGCCCCCTTGTTTCTCAGTTCGCTGCCTGGTATTCATAGCTTACGGCAGTCCCCAAATAACCCTGAGAGAGTCCCCACTGGCCACACTCCAGCTGGAGGTGCTGTTTATTTCTGTACAATTTCAAAAGTTCTATGTGACCAAGCAGGAAATAATTACTGTCGATGAATTCTCCGCAACTCTCCGTAGGCGTTTGGCGAACCTTCAGAGTCTCTGGTGGATGTGGTTCCAACATTCCTCTGTAGACTGAGTTTCCACTGCTGCTGCCCTCTGAGACAGGAGCGGAGGCTGGGGGTCCCTGTGACCCACTCCCTCTCACATCAGGGTGGGAGGGGTGGACTGTGTACACAGGAAATTTATACTGAAGTTTAATTGACATGAGCACCTCGTTTCTGGACCTTCTGCCTCAAGCACAACAGCTCTGCTATTCAACTTGGATTTGAAAACCAAGTGCTTCAGAAAGTGCAGTCCAGTTCTGGTTGCTGACATTTGGAAGTGTGACTGCATTTTTACTTCTCTTTCAGCATTGTTGTTTTCCTTCTCTATAGCAACACAGATAACAACCGGGAGTCGAGAGACAGCATCACAGTCGCTACTCTCCCAATAGCTTTCTGTCTCTGGACTAAGTCACTCCACGTCACTAAGCCACAGTTTCTCTATCTGTAAAATGGGAACAACTATCCCAGAGCTCACTGTGTTGTGGTGAAGATGAAAGTAAAAGTGGTGATGGATAAAGGGTGAGCATGCTTGCTAAGTCACTTCAGTCAAGTCTGACTCTTTGTGACCCCATGGACTATAGCCGGCCAGGCTCCTGTCTCCATGGGATTCTCTAGGCAAGAATAGGAGTGGGTTGCCATGCCCTTCTCCAGGGGATCTTCCCAACCCAGGAATCGAACCCACATTTCTTATGTCTCCTGCATTGGCAGTCAGGTTCTTTACCGCTTGTGCCACCTGGGAAGCCAAATGGTGAGCAGGTCTCACTTGTTATTTCTTCCTTCACGTCTCGTGAAGCACACACACTACATTTCCTTAACAAAAGAGCTTCCCTTTCCCTTCCCACCAGTTCTTATTTTGAAAGAGGGCTGGAGTTTGAACAAGGTTATCCATTTTGCACAGGATACCACCCCCATGGGCTAAGCCAGGCAGCCTGTGAGTTTTCAGGGACAGTTAGATCAGAGTAAACGCAACTGCATCTGCAACTGTTTGTCACAGTCCACCTGCCCATGTGTGCAGACTTTACTGGGGGGAGGGTGCACACCTGGGACTGCTTAGCCCATCCTGCCCATCACAGACCATAGAGGCTTTTCCAGTTGCCCTGCAAGATGATTAGCCTGCAGGGTGGGGGGAGAGAGGGGAGGGAGGAAGTTGATCTAATAGCTGAAACTTATAATAAAGAGCATTTGCATTAAAAAAACAACAACAACTATTTTCCAGCTGGTCTGTGACTTTTCTGGGCTTCAAAGGGAAGGAGGTTTGTTACAGGGGTGGTTCCTGCTGGAGACCCATCAACACCTTTTGGAAGCTTCACTGTGGAGTGCCGGGAGCCACCATCCTAGGTGACAGAAAATGCTATGGATGCCTTTTCCTGACTGAGTGCCTAAGAAGATAGAGAGGGAACAGAAACCTCCCAGGAGGGACTGTGGCACTCAAACAGGACATAGTCCATTGGTAGGAAAGGCAGAAGGACAAGTGAGCTGGGCAGAGACAATGAACATGCCAGTGGCTCATATTTTGACTTGATGCTTCGTCCCCTCCTTGTCTTTCTGCCCTGTCCCCCTCACCTTTCTGTACCCAGCAGGAGTCAAAGGTGAGTCTCTCACTTCCTGAAAGACCCTGGGACATCACCACCACCCCCCTCCTCTCTCCTGCAGTGTGTGAGGCATGGCCTGAATGGCTTTCACTCTGCAGAGGGGCCAGACTCACTGCCAACAAAGTCCCCTCCCCACAGCCCTGGCCATCTGAAAGGCCAAGTAAGACCACAGGCACACACAGGCAGAGGAACAAGGGGCCACTTCTAAGGGCAGGGAGTCAAGGCTTTGTAGAGCCCTATGAAGTCAACTCCAATCACTTCCAACAGTGAGTTCTGATCTAAGTACAGATCTGCCCAGTCAAAGGGTGGTCTGGACACAAACTGTGAGCAAATGCCAGACCCAAGGGCATTTGGGCTGTGACACAACTCTATCCACATATACGCTAAGTCACTGCAGTTGTGTGACCCCGTAAACTGTAGCCCACCAGGTTCCTCTGTCCATGGGATTTTCTAGGCAAGGACACTGGGGTGGCATGCCATTTCCTTCCTATCTGCATATGTGTGTGTTAGTTGCTTAGTCGTGTCCGACTCTGCAACCCATAGACTATAGCCCACCAGGCCCCGCCGTCCATGGGATTCTCCAGGCAAGAACACTGGAGTAGGTTGCCATTTCCTTCTCCAAAAGGATCTATGGAAAGAAAGAAAGTGAAGTCGCTCTGTCATGTCTGACTCTTTGCAACCCTATGGACTGTAGCCTACCAGGCTCCTCCATCCATGGAATTTTCCAGGCAAGAGTACTGGAGTGGGTTGCCATTTCCTTCTCCACTATCCACATATAGTTCTATCTAATTGTCACAGAGGAGTTGGTGTGCCCAGGTAGGCAGCAAACCCCGGCTATATGTCAAGCAGGATGGTTGAGTTTGGGATACAGAAACAAGCCCACCTCTGCCTGGGTCTGGGCCAGGGTCTTTACCAGGTCAAACCTGCTGCCTGGGTTTGCCCCCGGAAAACCAACACATCTTCAGTGTCTCAAAGGAATATCTGCAATGATAATGTCCCAAATTTACAAACTCAGCCAGTGTTTTAAGAGTGATTCCAATCCCAGCTCCCAGACATACTGCAGGACCGTGAGGAAGTGATGTGTCCGCTCCAGACTCAGTTTCCCCATCTGTACAGTGTGTGTGACCCCCAGCACATTCTCCTCTCTTCGTGCAACAGGGGAGCAGACGCTGCCCTGCTGTGCCTGGAGCACCCTGTCTGGTGGCAGGTGGTGGGTTTAGGACCTGGCGGCCTCGGACGCTGAGCTTGTGTGGTCCCAGTGTCACATACGAAGGTGCTGGACAGGGACCTGGCTGGACTGGAACCCGTGCCCTGCAGGCTGGGCTCCCTGCCTGCCCTGGCCACCTTCCCACGGTGATTCTGCACAGACAACCGCCAACTCCTATCTGCCTGGAGAAGCTCAAAGCCCGGGATCCCGCTCACGCTCTCGGCCTGAGTGGAGGTCCCAGGTCAGCTCTTCCAGGCGGTTCCTCCACACAGAGCCTCCTGCTGACCTTCCTCCACCCTCCCCACTTCTCTCCCTCCATCTCCTGCAGGGCTGGTCCCTCCGACCGTCCCACGCAGCGGCCTGCTTTTGATTCGGGCTTTGTCCTGTACGCCCCCAGCTCGCTCCGACGGTCCCCCCGACGCCCGGTCCCTTCGATCCCTTCTGGGCGCCTGCTTACCCATGCTGCCGGCCCCGGAGGCGGCTGTGCTGCAGCACCAGCTGGTAGGGAGACCTGGCGGGGCCCGCTGGGGTGCCAGCGGGGCCCAGGGCCAGCGCCAGAGCGAGGGGCAACAGCCGCCCGAGGAGCGCCATGGAGAGAGAGGACGCGCGGAACCGACGGGCAGGCGAGTGGTGGGGGAGTGCGAGCGCCGCTGCGGCCGCCGGCAGGTTAAGTAAGCGGAGCGCAGGGAGCCGCCCGAGGGGAGGGGCGGGGAGCCGGAGGCGGGCGGGCCGCGGGCTCCCCACGCCCCCGCCTCCCTGCCGCCCCGCCCACTCCCCCTGGGCGCCCGACCGTTCCCTGCCAGCCCTTCCCTTGTTCCCCGGCGTTCCCCAACGGGTTCCCCGGCACCCAGGACTACAGGGCGTACCACTTCACTCCCTCCTCGAGGTCTGTGAGGTCCTGAGCTCACAGATGCCTCACGGTCTCAGGTCATGCCGGTTTCCACAATAGTCTATCCAGCACATCTGTTTCTGCATTCCACAAGCACCCCTACTCTCCCCCAGGCCTGCTAACTTTAAGATGGATAAGGAGTAAGCCTTATGACTGACAGAAGCCAAAACAAAACAAAAAGACAGGTTTTGTTAGACACCAACTGGGAACTGGGGCGGGGGGGGGGGGGGGGCGGGAACTGGGGCGGGGGGGGGGGGCGGGACACTCCACTTTAGTACACACTGTCTGTTTTATTAAACATCTGTATAGCACTACATTCGAGAAAGATGCTGCAAAGAGATAGCAAAGATTTTTGTCCTGGAGGAGCTCAGAGAAAGTAAACAAATAGTCACCTGGGAGGGAGGTAATTCACTCAAGCACCTATTAATCACCCACCAATTATCTGGCACTGCTAGCCCCAGGAGACAAAGATGGATGAGTAAATGAGATCCAGGTTCTTTTCTTAAAAAGTTCACAGTTGGGAGACCTGCGGGCCAGTCAACAAAGTACTCTGGAGAGGGGCATCTGGGGCCTTGCGTGGAGGGGCAGGAAGTGACACCTGTTCCCTCTCTCAGCTGGAGTGATGAGAAGAAACCAGGCAAAAGGGGGACATTCTGGGTTCTCGAGGTGTCCTATTGGCTGAAGCATAGGGAGTCAGAGATAGAGAGATGGGAAGGCATGGCACAGGATGCAGACCTGAGCTCAGAGTCCTGCAGGGGTGATAGAGGAACAGGTCAGTGTCAGGAGCAGGCTAGGAGAGGATGACATAAAACAAGGCAGGAGGTGGAGGGTGGGCATGAAGAGGGGTAGCACGCTGAGGTGTGTCTGGAGGTACCAGCCTTGGCAGAACTTGGAGGCTGTACCCAGGGAGTGTGGGAGGAAGAGGACTCATGGATGACTAAGGTGCTGTTGGCAGGGGCATCTTGGTGTCTGGTGGTATCCTTCTTAAAATGAGAGATATGGAGGGGGGCATAGATTCACCAGGAGAAGGTAAGTGGTTCTAGCCACAATGAGTTTAAGTGTTTGTGGTTCATCCAGGTGTCCTGTGGGCAGCCGGATATAAAGATCTGGGGCTGGAGTGAGGGTTTGGGGGTGGAGATCCAGACGTGGGAGTCCTCCTCAGCCACAAGCAGCTGAAACCGTGGGAGTGGGTGGATCCTCTGGGTAGGCATGTGGAGCAAGAGGTGGGTGATGACAGATGATGGAGGGGAGGCAAGGCAGAGAGCAGCCAGCAAGGAGGCGAAGGAGTGCTGACAGAGAGCCCCTGTCAGAGTGCAGACAGAGGGGGCTGTGAGCAGTGAGTACCGCTGAATACCAGAGAGATCTGAAGGTGGCTGCTGTGAGGCAGACAGGCCCTGGGGACTTAACTGTGGGGAGCAGGAGGAACAAAGCCAGATGATGGTGCTTTGATGGAGTGATGGGGTTGTGGAGAGTGTGGACGACTCTTCCAAGAAGATGGTGTGAGAAAGGAAGGGGAGAGTCAGGGTGGAAGACAGGGGACACTGTCCACAGAGGCTTGGACATGTTAGGACGTTGATGGAAAGGAGCGATAAAGGAGGGGGTCAAAGAAATGGAAAAATAAAGATAGATAATCAGAGTGGGGAGAAGGGAAGCAAGGAGGGGTCTGGAGCAGAGCAATTTGGGGCTGGAGGAGGGGCAGAGTACAGAGGGAGTAAAAGCTATGGAGGGCCTGACTTGGGGGGATGGTAGAAGGAGCGAAGAGGATGGGTCAGGTTTCAGGGCAATTACAGTGGGTAGCACTGACTAGACTGAGAAAGCCTAGGGCAAGGAGGGGAAAGGGGGAGTCAGGGACAACACAAGGTCTCTAGCTGGGATGATCAGATGCAGGACAGGCACCCAAGGGAAAAGGCACACTGGACTAGCTGCCTGGGGGAGCGAGGTGGGTCTCCAGGCGTGTTCACACGTCCTTGACAGGCCATCCCAGGGGAGATGTCCAGGCGAGAACTGTCTTCAAAGGTCTCGAGTTCAGAAGAGGGGTGAGTGCTGGGGATGCAGGTTGGAGTCACCACCCTAGCTGGAGGTGGCTGAAGTCCCGGACTTGGGCAGCTTCCCTTGAGCACGTGTGTGGGAGAAGAGGAAGAGATGGCGGGCTCTGGGGAGCATCCACCTGGGGAGATTGAGGGGAAACAGAGTCGAAACCCTGACAGGATGGAGGCCAGGGAGACCCCAAGAGGCCACCGGAGAGGAGGCTTTCAGAGCCCAAGCTGGACCCGGTCACTGAGCGGTTCCGAGGCTGCGGTTGGTGCTCAGGAAACTAAAGACCAAGAGACTCTGGAATGTTTTCTGGAACATTCTAATTCCAGCTTGTATCTTCCTCCTTGAAGACTAGGAGATGTTCTGGGGTGGTTTTGACCTTGGAGAGAACCAGGTCCTTTCCTGATATTCTCCCTCTTTCCTCCCCTCCCCTATCTCCCCCGGAGGGAGGGCTGGGACAGTCCCTCCCCTGGCCACCTATGAAGGCTGCTCTCTGGCTGGGACTTCCACCACTTTGGGGCAGACGTTCCCTTTGCTTGTCTCTGTTCGGACAGGCTCGTTCTGCTGGCTGATGAGGACTGTCAAATGCATTCTTCAGCCTGCAATGAGGGGACTTCCCTGGAAAAAACTTTCTGAGGGAGCAGGATGTCTCGTGGCTTTCAGTGCAGGCGCCCAGGATTTAGCTCCACTTTATCTATGAGTCCTTTTTTTCATTGTGGGGTTTATCATCATTTGCTGTTTTTCTGGAGCCTCACAAAGCAAAGCCAGGATAGGAAAAGCTGTTTTGATGATTTCCACATCCAAAGTCCTATCTGCTGGCTTGGTTCTCTGACAGTGATCTGATCGTGCAAAGCAAGAGCGACTTTACAATGACTCCTCAGTGAGTCAAGGTGGATGGCTGTTAAGATCATAAGCTGGGAACTCGGGCTGAGGTCTAAGAACACAGCAGCCCCCACAAATAGTCTAGTCAAAGCTGCTGTGAAAGAACTCCTTTATAAAATCGAGGTGATCGTGACCAGGGTAAGGAAAGAAAGGAAGCTTTGGGGAAGGATACACGCTGAGGAAGCAGCCTTTGGCAACTTTGCTTGATGGTTTTGTTTCAGCTTGGGTCCCCCTGCCAGGGTCCATCAAGTAGACTGCCAGCCTTGCCTGAGTGATGGCAGTGGTAAAACAAAGTTGCCAAGTATAGGCTCTGGAGGCAAAGGACCAAATCCTAGTCCTCCTACTTACAGGCTGTGTGGCCTCAGGCAAGTTGTTCAACCCCTCTGAGCCTCAACTGCTAGTTTTCTCATAGAATTGATATTAAAACCTACCTCACAGGCCTCTAGGGTAGATTACATGATATAATTCAAGTAAAGTGGCCAACAGATAGGAGTTGCCTACCTCTTCCACTAACTGCACTATTTAATAAAGATCACTGAGATGATATGACAGGTTAGCAGCCCCAGAAGTGTAATTGTCTGAAAATAATCATTTAAATGAAAGCAAAACATTTCTCTGTTTTAACATGACTGTTTGGCATAGGACATTGGGAAGAGCTCAAAGAGGTTCAAGCTCGGGCTTGATGTCTCCCCTGACGATGGAGCACTGGCGGCAGCACTGTTTTAGGAAAGATGCCCCTGTGTGTAAAAGCCTGGGAGCCGAGGCTTCCCCAGCCCAGCTCTCCCTCTAGCAAGATTTACAGGCTTCAGGGCAAGTCAGGTAATCTTGCTATAAAACCTCCCTCATCTGTAAAACTAACATTCGATGACTTGAGTTTTTCCACAAGCTCAGGAAAGAGATTACAGTCATACTTCATTTACTGTTTAGATGTTAAAAAAAAAAAAAAAAATTCCACCTCTGCATCCCACCACTCACCCACCTCCAAAACCAGAAAATGCAGAACCCTGTCTGTGAACATAAACACTGGCAAGTGGCTTTTTCCACCAGAGAAGACTGCTTCTGGGGGTTGTTTTTCCATAGGAAAAATGGCTGTTGAGGGAAGGAACAGGGGTCCCCTATCTCAGATGGCTTGCCACCAACCAGGGTTAGCCCCGCTCACTTTCATTTAGGAAAGGTTTCCCTTCTCTTTCCGTGTTAGACCAACTAAAGAGAAAGAGAGTCTTGTCTGGAACAATAATTACTAGACTTTTTCAGACACTTTATAAATATGACTCCTTTCTCGTCTTGTGGCTCATACGAGATCACCACGAACAGTTTAGCTTTTGAAAATAACCCTGTTGTGCTTGACAACAGGGCTTCAACCTCAAGATGAGTGAGTAGTTCCAGCAAGTTCTCCACAAAGGAAATGCGGAAAGAAATTGCTTCTGGGTCTGAGGGCAGGGCAGCTGGCATTTGCAGCCTGACCGACTTCAGGCCTCCCTTGTGCCATCCTCCCCAAAGCTGTGGGTGATGTTGGGCATCAGTGAAGATATATGACATGGTTGAAATAATTTCCAGAGGACACTCAGCCTTTCTAACCTGCCACCATGTAGTAAATTAGAGAGTTCTTACAATTCAGTTCCCTACTACTTGCCAGGGAGAAAGAAAAAAGAGTTTTGGCACAAGATACCGAATTTTTAAGAGTAGTTAGATTAAAATTTGGGGGAAATTTTCCATTCATTGCACAACATACAGCACACAGAATGTTACTTTACACACTGCAATTATTCTATCCAGCTAACAAACA